ATATAGCTAAATGTGAGCATCTTGTACAAATGAATAACAATATTATGTATTAAACACAAAAAACGTACGTGTAAGAAGAAATAGGTCCGGTAATATGGCTCATAGTTGACACCACCTCCAGCATTAGCTCATGTGTTAACGTCGATTACAAATACCCAATAAAACAAATCCCTGTTTTCACCAAAGTCAAAGCTGTAGTGGTCGAAAATCGAATCCCTTCCCTGACGACCGCAGCAGTGCTCATGACAGCAGTCCCTTCCCTGACAACCGCAGCAGTGTGCATGGCAGGAATCTCTTCTCTGACGCCCGCAGCAATGTGCATGACAACAATCCCTTTCCTGACAACCGCAGCAGTGTGCATGGCAGGAATCCCTTCCCTGACGACCGCAGCAGTGTGCATGGCAGGAATCCCTTCCCTAACGACCGCAGCAGTGCTCATGACAGCAGTCCCTTCCCTGAAAACCGCAGCAGTGTGCATGGCAAGAATCCCTTCCCTGATGACCGCAGCAGTGTGCATGACGGGAATCCCTTCCCTGACAACCGCAGCAGCGTGCATGGCAGGAATCCCTTCCCTGACGACCGCAGCAGTGTGCATGGCAGGAATCCCTTCCCTAACGACCGCAGCAGTGCTCATGACAGCAGCCCCTTCCCTGACAACCGCAGCAGTGTGCATGGCAGGAATCCCTTCCCGGACAACCGCAGCAGTGTGCATGGCAGGAATCCCTTCCCTGACGACCGCAGCAGTGTGCATGACAACAATCCCTTCCCTGACGACCGCCGCAGTGTGCATAACAGGAATCCCTTCCCTGACGACCGCAGCAGTGTGCATGGCAGGAATCCCTTCCCTGACGACCGCAGCAGTGTGCATGTCAGGAATCCCTTCCCTAACGACCGCAGCAGTGTGCATGACAACAATCCCTTCCCTGACGACCGCCGCAGTGTGCATAGCAGGAATCCCTTCCCTAACGACCGCAGCAGTGCTCATGACAGCAGTCCCTTCCCTGACAACCGCAGCAGTGTGCATGGCAGGAATCCCTTCCCTGACGCCCGCAGCAGTGTTCATAGCAGGAGTCCCTGCCTGATGACCGCAGCAGTGTCCATGACAGGAGTCCCTCCTCTGACGCACAAGTCACCGGTGATGTCATTCCCTGACCGCGGGTCGACTGCGAACAGCACCCTGGACGCTGCAGAACGGGTGTAGGGGAATACCCAGCAACTGCGCAGGGTAAGCTAATGTATGGTAATACACGCTAATACAAACTTTCTAACGCATCGACGTGCCATATAATCATACCAGATAGATGGCACGCGAGCAGGATGTTCAGGTATCGCTTATAAAATGATGAGCTTAGCAACCGCAAGCCAAGCAAAGCTCGTTGCTAGGCTAGAGGAAACTTCAGGACTCGGTCAACCTTTCGTCCATCGATATCATTCATACAAGCTTCAGACAGCGCCCCTGTGTGCGCAGCAGGCCTCGTTTTTGTCTGGCTCGTAATACCCCTGGAACTGCCGGGCGCGGCGTGACCGCGCACGCCGAGTACAGCCCCAGCCGACCGTCAGCTGGCGCCCTGCGTGCCGTGGGTCAGGCGAGGCCGCGCACGCCGAGTACAGCCCCAGCTGACCGTCTGCTGGCACCCTGCGTGCCGTGGGTCAGGCGAGGCCGCGCACGCCGAGTACAGCCCCAGCCGACCGTCAGCTGGCACCCTGCGTGCCGTGGGTCAGGCGAGCCCGCGCCGGATAACTCCGGCCGTCCTGTTTATCCTTTGCACATGGTGTTTCACAACTATTTTACAAAAGTTGAAATACAAGAAGAGTGTGCATTGAGACCGTCACAGACTGCGCGAAGACGGTCACCTGCGTAATGAATGGCTGTTGTTGGATGCAACGACACATTCGACGTCTCAGGCCATTGGGTGTCGATTTCCTGGGGGAGACCATGCTTTCAGCAGGGAGCCAAGCACGAACTCATACATTGTTTGCAGGGACAGACCCAGAGGGGGCCACGGGGTCATGGCCCCCCTGGGTCCCGATGGGACCGATGAGCCCCGAGGGGGTCATAGCCGGCCGAACAAACGCAGCTTTTTTGCACAGAACGCAACAAAATTGAACATCTTTGAGCTTCTAAGCGACCAATAACAATGGGAAGCCAAAGTGAAAGCCCTACGAGTGGACAACAATTATTACCCACTGGTTGAGAGGGTGGTAATTGAGAGGTCTTAAGACTGCTTGCGCTGTTCAGAGGCCCTACGCTTTTTTCCGGGGCTCTATATGTCCACATGCGGGTCAACCCGATCAGTAAGGAGCCTTCTACGTTGCCCTTGATTTCTTTGCATTTTCTCGGAGGGTCCTGCGCTGTTGCTGGAGCCCTTCCTGCTAGCGTGCCGGGCACTCTTTGTCAATCAGGTACCTTCCACGGATTCTTTCCATTCGCCCGAAACGCTATATACGTTAGAGCCAGGGAACCTGATATGCTGACATGCCGGGGGATTCTCGGTTGCTCAGGGGCCCTTCACGTTCGTCACAGTTGACCTGCCGGCACCCTCACGATGTGCTCATGGACATTCTACATCGGTCCAGGGCCCTTCCAATTTTTTGACACTTGCTTAGTGCCCTACGCTCTTGTCTGGGGCCCACCTGTTGACTCATTTGGGCTTACTCGCTCATTCGGGGCCCTCCAAATTAGGTCTTGGATACTTTTCATTTGAATGGGGAGGCTTTGCACTTGTCAGGACCCCTCCAGATAGCCTGCTCTGGCACACTTGATAGTTCGGGGTCGGTTCGGGCCAGTGGCGGATCCAGAAGGGGCACCATGGAGCCGTGCTTCCCTCTTTCGCCCCGAAGGGACCCACAGACTCTGAAGGCCCATGACCGGGTGAGCGGGGCAGTTTTCAAGCACAGACCAAAACAAAATTGAAAGTCTGGGCCTCCAGACGACCAAGAACAATCACGGGCAAAAGTGAAGCCCATCAGCGGACAAACCCAAACGCCGTCCAGAGGCGTTGCGCTGTTGCCGGGGCCCTATATGTCTACTTGCGGGGTCAGTCCGATTGCTCAGGAGCCTTCCACGTCGCTCCGATCTCCTTGCATTTTCTCGTAAAGCCCTCCGCTGCTGTTGGGGTGCTTCCTGCCAGCATGCCTGGACACTATTGGTCGATCAGGAGCCCTCCACGTATTCTTTCCATTTGCCCGAAAGGCCCCTTGCGCTTTTGTTGGGGTTCCATATCTGGGGTACACCCAGTTACTCAGGGACCCTTTATATTGCTCTCGGGTTATTTCCGCTTGCTCAGCGGGCATTGTGCTGTTGCTGAGGACAATATAACGTAAGGCATTGAGCTAACCGGTGCTCAGAAGCCCTCTACATTAACCTGGGGCTATCTTCCCTCGATCTCGTTTGCGGAGGACCGTTCACTCCCATCGCGGCCCGGTCTGTTAATCTCCTCGGGCACTATTGATCTGTTAATCTCACCGGGCACTCTTGATCTGTTAATCTCCCTGGGCACTTTTGATCTGTTAATCTCACCGGGCACTTTTGATCTGTTAATCTCCCCGGGCACTCTTGATCTGTTAATCTCCCCGGGCACTCTCGATCTGTTATTCTCCCCGGGCACTCTTGATCGCACAGGGCATTCATTCACGCACACTGGTCGTGAATGCGCGCACGCACATTGGCCCCCTCAAAGGACCCTATGCTTTGGCTGGGGCCCTATGTCAGCCCGCCGGGGCACTACCGATCTTTCAGGGACCCATCGCGTTGGCCTTGGGTTCTTCTCGCTAGGCTTTAAAGACCCTGTACTAGTTACGGAGGTTTCTTTGTTGGCCTGCCGCGGCACCCATGATCGCTCACGTTTCGTCTCTGTTCGCCTTGGTGCCTCAGCCTTAGAGCATAGTTGGATATGCGCCGATGAATTCGTGCACGCAATTGTCGAACATAAGTTTACATGTCGCCGACGTCGTATGTGATATTTCGATTGGCCATTGAATTTGTGACACCTTTTATGTTTGTGCATCACATTATGATCCATTTTATATAGCACATTTTAATGCTAAGATATTTTTATATCCTTCATAAAAAACAAAGCAAAAACCTGCATTAGTCATCAGTCATTGACTGATCACATCGACCAGCCGGCTGGGTGTCAATATGCTTGGAATCAAGTTCGTGCTCGATTTGAATTGTACTTGGCAGCCACCTTAAGCATATGTTGTCAATTTTTTTCGAAAAACTTAGCGTCAGAATGACAGGATTCACCATGATCTGGAGAAAATAAATAAGCTCCAGGTATCAGCAAACGCACCACGCCTGGTTGGCTAAGGATGCGCACAGTAAGACGGGTTTCCATCATCTAAGAATCTTAAAATGTGATGGCCGGACTTCGAGGATCTTTTTATAGGGGGGAAGGGGGCTTAACACTACTGTTGCGTGTCCCCCCCCCGCCCTCCCCCCACTTGACGAAACCCTGGATCCGCCCCTGCTTGTTTCACGTAGCCGCTGCTTTAACTAAGCTTCATCGCCTCCCAGTAGCAAGTGAGAAGGCTTCTTATGCGAACAGGTAGCGAGCGGGTACGTTCAAGGCTCAACAAGTCACCTCCCCCCCTCCCCCACCCCACCCCACACACACACGCACAAACACGGACCCGCGCCAACGACGGATTGGTTGCGTGAAGTGAAAACCCATGTAGGAAGTGCGCCACATCGGGCGATGAACGTATTCCGGGATATTTTGCCTTTTAAACGAGCTGTAAACGGTTGAAAGAAACATGCAGAAAAGAAGCCATTAGCATTGTATTCAAACGTCTCCCGCACACTTCCAAGTGTGTATCCAGCACTGACTTGAAGCTCTAACTCAAACTAAATTGAAGCAGGCGGTTAAGCTTAGCGTCTGAATTTCCACCTGCGGAAGAATGGGTACAATCTCCAAAACAATGACAAATCTGCAGCGACGCATGAGGAGCGAGGCTTGTCCCGACGCACGCGCAACCCGAGTGAGGACCCTACCGACCTGCGTGCCGACCAGCAGCGGCAGGGGCAGCGCCAGCAGTGGGGTCAACACGAGCACAGCTGACTTCCAGAAGCGTGCCGCCGCGCGCAGTGCCGAGACCGGCCGCCGTTCGGCCGTCTCGGCCGCCTCCCCCTCCGCCTCCTGCGCCATGCCAGCGCACCGCCGGCCGCTCGCCGAACACTGGCCTGCGCCGCCCCGGCCGCCGGAGCGTGCCCGGCTGGCCTCGCCGCCGCCTGACGTCGCCCGCGGTGGTGCCGGGCGCGTGCCGATCGAGGAAAGGCCGGCGCGGCGCGGCGCGGCCGAGGGGCCAGACTCTCAGCTGGCTAGTTCTGGACCTGTCCGCCAGGCGTCATGTGGGTTATGGGTGGGAGCTCGACGGCTACATTCAGGGCCTTTCTAACATGACACGTGCAGAGAACTGCCCTCGTACTCGGTCAGATTTCCCCCACTGAACAGACATCCCCCCACCCCCAATCACACTTGCCCAAGTCAAGGTGTTGTAAGTTTAACCCAATTGGTTTGTGCGCGCTTTGTATCCAGATTTCGTCCACCAACCGTCCCCAGTCATGCTCGCGCTCTGCGCTGCAACGGCAGACGTCTTTCCAGGTTCATTACATCAAACCTGACCGCAGAATGGTATTCATTTCTGCAGCTGCGACTAAAACTGGCAGCATTCTGCCCAGGTGTTTGTTCTCACCATCAACGTCCACGCCCCGTTTTGTTGGATGCGCTTATGTAACTCAACCACCTCGTTGACAACCGGAGGAGCCCGTGGCCTGATACGGTGCCGCCGTTGGACCGTGGCGCAGCCGGGCCACGGCTCCGACTCTAAGAGGGAGTGTAGCCGGGCAGTACACTTGAAGCCGCGACGCGGCGCCAGCGAGAGTATCTAGGGGCCGACCGCAGACGATGGGCAGGCTGCTGTGGTGAGGCATTTGCTCCACGGTGGGAGGCGGCAAGCCGGCCGGGGTGGCGCCACCTGGCCAGCTCAGTATTTAGCTTTGAAGTGTATGAATTCACGCGGTCACCGAGCGTTCAGCCAGGGCGCACCATCCCACAGCCCACATTGCGTTTGCCACGTGTCGGTGTCTGCGTCAAGTCTCTCTCACCCCTGGTCGTGGTCAGGTTGGGGGTCATTGTCTCCAACGTGTCTCGGCTTGTGGCGAAGGTATCTGCTTACATCTCGTCCGCCTCAGGTTTGATGTCATCGGTGAGATATTTGTCCAGATGGTGAGTTAGAACTTATCCCTTTCCTCAGTCCCTACAGTCTGGAAAAAAATCATATGTCTCCCTATCTTCAAGTCGGGTCATTGCGCGAAGCCGTTCAATTAAAGTTCTGCGTTCATTGATTCTGTCATAATGAAAATCGTAGAGCATGCCGTCTCCAGCAGCTCTGCCGTTACCTGTCATGCGAATGTTTCCTGCCTCCTCGCAGCACGGTTTCCGTTCTCGTCACTCCACGAAAATCTCGCTGATATCCTAAGCCGATCATATCTCTTCCAGCAATGACCGCGGAGGAATATCGCTGCTCTGCGTCCTTGACGTTGAGGAAGTGTTTCAACGTGAATGACCATTCATAACTTCCTACCAAGCCACGCGTTCACGTAATGGATTCCTACTGGGATTTGATGGATTCCTCTTGGCTTATCTTCAAAATCGCGCCCAAATCGTCAGCATCACTGACATACTGAGCACATGCAAAACCTGTTCTTAACCTTCAACCATCATAGGAACGTTTTAGAGTTCGATATCAGTGGGTTTAAACACCGGTTGCGCCATGACCCCTGGACTCTAATACGGCCACTGCAGCTGTCGGCGCTTCATAAAACTGTGTGACGAAGGGCGTCGCATTCTCTTTTAATAAGAAGATCAACGACTTGTCCATCCCATGCGTGCTGGAGATGCTCATCGTTAAATATGCGACGTGGAATGTACGGTGCCGCATCCATTCTCCCCAGTGCTAGTTTGTGCGCAGCATACATGCCTGACACACTAATAATCTAATAATTGTGCATGGCATAAAATTCTTGCAGCGGAAAGCGTTGATGCATGGATACAGGCATAGTTGAGCAATGGCTGGCGCTATAAGGCCTACGAGTATAAGGCCTGGCTGGCGCGCGCGAATCCCGCGCGTCCGCGGCCTGACAGAAGGGTGCTCGCTTGCAATATGACGCACAGGGCACGAGTCCCTGGGCGGGGCGATGGTCGATGGGCGGGGCGATGGTCTGCCGGAATGTCGAAGACAGGGCTTACGGTAACCGGCCAAATGGCGTCAACCTGACCCGTGTGGTTATGTCGGAGCACTGTACGACACGCAGACCATCGGCGGTACAGCCTGGCAGGAAGGTCGCGGGGACGATTGCGCTGCGCGGTCCGTGGAACAGGTGCCACGAACACAAAACCATCTTGCAAAGCATTTATCGATCTTATCTGGGAGCGTTGGAGCGGCGGGGATCAAAGAGGAGCGCATAAGACAGCACAACGGCTTGCCTGCATCCCGACCTCGCTCTGAGATGTGGAAGCGTCGTCTTTCCTGCCTGAGCCTGAGCTGTACCTGCTGAGCTGTACCTGAGCTGTACCTGTACCTTTCCTGCCTGAGCCTGTACCTGAGCTGCACAGAGCACTGTCACGTGACCCCAAGCAGCCACCGGTTGCGTTCTTAGTCTGACGGCTGAAGCGCCGGCCATTCAACGAAAATTCGATGGATGGTACAGCTCCTTCGCGGGTTGATTAACATGCTTGCACGCGCACACGTCCGTGGCCATGCTGACATCCGCCGCAGTCTTTTGTTTTGGCGACGATGGGCGGTAGTGGCCTCAAGTTTAACTAGATCGCCCAAAAGGATGGCTTCATGGCTACATGTCGGTCGACATCGCTCTTACTCCCCCGTCGCGCCCTCATCCTCCGATGCATTTAATACAACAGGCTACAAACAAAGGGTGCCCTGAAAGCGCTTTAAGTCCAAAGGAAAAATTGGTTTTGCTCTAGGAGTTTCTAGTGCTAGTTTCATCATAGCTTTGCTTCCATATGCTCGCCAATGTCAGGTGATGCAGGGGCCATGAAAGTAATTCAAACGCGGTATGGGCGACTAATAGTATGGATGACTCGCTCAGTAATTGACCCTCAGGCTGTCAGTTGCATTTCATATTTTGAACAGTATCAATTTAATGTCTATTTTTCCTTGCTCCATGATATCATGTGCAGTCAGCTTACGCAACATGACGTGATAGCCCAGGATTAAGAAAGCAGGTTTTCACGAAGCCATGCTTTTCTATATCATCTGCGAGCAGCATTAATGTCTATCCTTGCTGCCTAAAATGTATAAGCCAATATTTGTCAGAACCATAGGATAAGGCACGACTTGCCTACCGTGCCCCTGCATGAGACGTCAGCATCATGAGGCGTGCATCCTCGGCCACATTTTGTTCATATGTGAGCGTTTCATGTGGATAATGATCGGTAATCTTAGAATCTTCAAAGTACATCAATCAGTTTTTCACCACACTATAAGTATGTTTCACTTAATGGCCTTTAAATAGACCAGCATGTTCATTAAGCATGCTTTTGTCCCGCAAAGACGTGCTTACTTTGCAGGCGTTCTTCGTTATATGTTGTTTGCTATCTGCCCATTTATGTGTATACCTAACCATCCACTTTAAGTACACTTCATCCTGGGTATGTTATGGCAATTAACGTCCGAATTTAAGAGACGAAAACGCAGCTATCTCCGAACATATGAAAGCAGCCAGTCTGTTCGGGGCCCCGCGCCCCTGCCTGTCTTCCTGTGGAATGTAGCCGCAGGACGAGCAATGCCAGACCCGGATTAAGGTCTGGCCTTTCTCAGCAGACCGACCTTGTTTCGTATATATAACGTGCTCCCGAGTACCCTGCTGTTTACGCGGTTGATATCAACCATCGGATCGGCTAAGATACTCTTAAATCAGTTCCGCATGGCGTGGAATGTGAATCACTCGCAATGCATGTGCAACGCTTTTCATGGCGAGCTTGCATGACCATGGCCACTGCTCCAATACCGCCTTACATATAGGCATGTGGCAATGGCACATCCCTCCTCATTATAATGGAAACATAGATGCGGGAACTGAATAATCATAAGAATAGGCGTGTGGGAAGAAACTTTGGAGATGTCACCGCTTTAGGTCTATCTCAGTTTCGGAAATCAGGTATCATCAGTGGTGGCGCTTTCCTTTGGGGAGTCTTGGGCAGTCGCTAGTCCCGGCAGTTCCGGAGTGAAATTTGGAGTCCTGTTACTTGTCATCACCATCCGCGCTTGGCACCGCCTCGTGTCGATGTTTGAGGCGTCGGTGGGAGTGAGAGCGTGGCGTAACTCATGCATCTGAGCGCCCAATCTGTACATCTGAACGTTGCTTGAGAGCTTGATTAGCTCGAGAGCACGCGGAAAGGAAAGCATGTATTAGCCACAGTCACGAGTCTGCCTGGATCGTCAGGTCCCCATTCAGTGCCAGAGCTGCTCCAGGTGTCTGGCGCCGCTTCTGAATGTCGGTGACCTCAAGGCCTTACATGGTAAGATACATATTCGAATATGTTCGGCGTGCGTCCCCCCCCCCCCCTCTCCTTCCCTCCCCGTTCTGTCCTTCCATCCCCCACTGATTTATCCCAGTCACATTGATTTATCACGTCTGATCACATCTGATCACATCTGATCACATCTGATCACATCTGATCACATCTGATTACATCTGATCATATCTGATCACACTGATTTATCCCAGTGACTGGGCGGCAGTCACAGCTTAACGTTATGTAAGGCTTATTGTGATTTCCTGCGATATGTAGAGCAGACATATTAAGTTTCTGAGCTTAAAAATATTACAATGTTGAGCATTAACACGAGCCCGGGTGGCCCGTTAGATGCCCTTCGCTTGGGTGGGGGTCAATTTGACCCCCTTGAAATCTCAGAAACTAAGAAAGCTAGAGCCACCAAATTCACAGGATGTGTTGATGGGTACGTGAACTCACTTAGGTCAAAGTTTGAGGCTCCTAGATTTTAGCCTTTAGGTCAAATAAGGTCAAACAAGGTAAAATCCCAGGTCGGTCTCCAAAGGGCTCTAGAACCAAAATAACTGTTCTAAGCAATAGGTAATATGTTCATTTAGGTTAGTGACCT